AAGGGGAGAGGAAGGGTGGGTTGAAGGGCCGCAGGACTTACTCGTCTAGCTAGTCGAAGTTCGCCGAGTCGGAGGAGGAGAGCAAACTCTTGTTCCTTGTCCCCACTCTCTCTTGCTGCTTGAAGCGCCTGCATACCATCCAGTCATGCATCAATACTCCCTCCTCCTGTTGACCTTCTTCGTCTTGGCTCCTGCTCCAGCTGTGACCGAGCTTCTCTTCTTCATCACTTTCTGAGAGCAACGCGTCATCTCATGCCACCCTCACACGTTGCGTACAAAAGCTGCAAGATCCTTCAAAGGACCTGGAATCTGAAAGCAAAGTCACTGTTGAGATGGGAGGGAGGGCAGGGAGGGAGAGGGACAGGAGGGAGACTGAAAGGGGAGTAATGAGAGAAGGCTCAAAGCTGGGTGCCCTCACCATATCGTCTGGAAGGTCTTCAGCAGATTCAGACTTGTCATCTTTGCCTCCATTCAACTTCTTCATCATTCGGATTCGTTCCTCCTTCTTCCTCATCAGAAACTTCTCTCGCTTTCTCACTGATCCTCCCCTTCTGAGGGCTGAGCATTTCCTCCGCTTCCCTGAAACTCCTCCATTCAGCCGCATGGTAAGAGATATCATCCCGTTCGGCGGCTGATTGGCATCGACGACCTCGGCATAACCATGACTCTGCTCTGAGAAGGAGGGAGCCAGTGGACCAGATGAGCAGGTTACTGAGCATATCAGACAACACCAAAGAACGAAGGTTCCATTCTTGACACTCATGATGACTAAGATGGCCTTCTTGCAGGTTGATCGATAGTTAGAGCCATTTCTCATTCTATTCTCTCATCCCCTGTGTATGCTGGCCCTGCGAACAAGAGTGAAAAGACATGTCAATGCAGGGCAATCTTGGATCTTTTGCTCTCTGATATCACTGTCCGCCTACAGCTCATCGGCTACCGCATTGTGCTATCGGTTTCCCTCCCCTTCCTCTTCACTGCCATTCTGACGCATCTCTTCTTCCATCCTTCCATCTTGTATCCTCCTTCTTCTTCTCTCCCCTCTGCTCCTGCTGCTGCTCCTCCTGCTCAACCCTGCTGCTGCTGCTGCTGCTCCTGCTGCTGCTGCTGCTGCTGCTGCTGCTGCTCCTGCTGCTGCTGCTCCTGCTGCTCCTGCTGCTCCTGCTGCTCCTGCTGCTCCTGCTGCTCCTGCTGCTCCTGCTCCTGCTCCTGCTTCTCCAGACCTCCTCCCCATGTCATCCTCTTGCTCTGCCCCGCAGCTTGCAAAAGATCCGCCTCATGGATTACAAGTCCTGGGTACCCCACCCCTTGCTTGAAAGAAAACTTAGCGGTAGTAGGGTATTTTCATAATGAAATGGATTAAATGAGTAGGGTGGGGTAGGTAGGAGGGGAGGGTACAAGAAGACGTCCAACAAGAACTTCCTCCTCCATGGACTGGCATCGACAAACTTCGGCAGTCAGTGAGAATGGCGACTGAAACATCTTGGAAGCAGCCGCATCGGACCTTGTTTGATATCTCCTGCTTGTTTGCTGATCCTCTCCATGTGTTGGTTTCATAGCTCAAAATCCCTGAGACTTACACATGTGGGTTGATTGCTCTACCACAAGACCGTATTCCTTGAGTGTACATCCTCGAGCATAGTGACCGCTGAAAATTCATTCTTGAAACTTTCTTGCGTCATTTCCCTTATATCATCTGAATCATTATGAAATTCTACCTTGTTGCAACAACACAAATGTAGATCGAAGCATATACCGCCAGGATCCTCGTTGTCAAGCTACCAAACAATCTTTCAGGGAAAAGCAGCGACAACGAAAATCATTAATCAGTGTGGTGTTTGATTTCTGCAATCGTTCTGAAAGAAGAGTGGCGAACAATCAAAATCACAAATTTACACTTCCTTCTATTTATTGCCTTCTTTCTATACACAACAATCTTGCATACATTGGCACACAAGAAGCACTGACGACTACTGAAACAAGTTAATTACAATCACGCTATCATTAGTTCAAGATTACAAAGCAGAGAGAGAGAGAGAGCTGGGCTCGACTTTCACCGCAGGCAGGAGGGAGGTGACTGCCGGCAACTTCTGTACACGCAAATGGCGCTCAGACCTCACGACTATTTCTTGACGACATGGGCGAAGGCCTCTTGGAAGAGATCCTCATCGTACCAGACGCGCTTCGGCATCTTGATCTCGATCGGGTCGAGCTCGAGGGAGGCAGACGGGTCCGCAAGGCAGTCTGGGTCATCGTAGAGCGCCTCCCCGGTGCAGCATGCTGCAAAGGAGATCTCGGATCCTGTGACCTTGCTCTTAAGCAGCTTTCCCTGCTCGGAATCGCACGTAAACTTGATTCGGTTTCTAGAATATGGCCACTTTTGCATGCCGATCCGGCGGCAGGCATTCTTCAATGCCGTTAGGGAGATCCCCAAAAAGTCTGCTGCCTCCGTCTGCCGAAAGCAGAACAGCTTGGTGATCTGTTCTTCATCCAGAGACAGCGGCTCGCGGCTGCACTTTTCTTCTCCTCTTCTCCTTCGTGGATAGATCTCAGTCTTCTTGGCAGACAGCATTTCGTTAGCTTGGAGGATTGTCGGAGTTGCAAGGAGAGTCCTGTCAGTCTGATGAAGTTCAGAGATGCCCGGAAGCAAGAGGGAGCGGAGATGGGATTGGGCAGACCAGGATCTTGGGGGAAGCAGGTGAGAACAAGGGACTAGCAGAGGAAGGAGGGAAGGAGGAGGAGGAACAGCTAAGCCGTGTCGAGGATGCGATGAGTCTGTGGGATGGGGCAGGAACGAGAGGACTCCTTAAATTGAGAGGGGCGGATAGGAGCCCCTTCCCTTTTGACTGGGTGGGGTATTGCAAAAAGGTGGTAGGGGTAACTCATCACCCCCTCATTGCTCATCGTTTTATACTAATTTGTACGGGTGTGTGTATCAGTCAAACAGAGGTATGGGGTACTTGGGAAATGGGGGTACGGTAAAGATCATGGGGTCGCTCTACCCCCTTTTTTTCCTTGGAAAATTGTAGGCAAAAACCTCGTCGGCACAGCACCGGTAGGGTACCCAGGTAAAACGAAAGTGCCGGTCAATTTGTAAGTATTTAGGACATTATTTAAGGGGTGGGTAGAGGAAATAACCTGAATCATGGTAGGGTAGTGGTCTGGCAGTAGGAAAGAGGGGGCAACGGAGGATAAGGGCGGTAGGACTTGAAGGGGTGGGGTAGTTGGACGGAAAAGAGAGGGTGGAGTTTAAGAGGGTACTTTGAGGTTCTCGGAGGGGTAAAGATCATGAATCGACCGTCAAAAGCCGGGTACGAACAACTGTGAAGGAGGGGTGATAACAGAGTTTCAAGAGATGGTAGGGGTGGGGTGGAGGGGTCTTCTTCAAGGGGTAAAGCACATCGAAAGGAGGCGGGATAAATAGTCTGCCCCCCGAACAGGGGGTGGGGTATTGCTACCCCTGGATTACAATTCGATTTCATGTATTGGTTACTAGCTACGTCAGAGGGTGGGGTGGTTACGAGGACTCCCGTCACGGATAGGGTGGGGTAATGCTCAAGAAGTCCGATTAATAGATAACTAGTAAAGTGAGCACAAGGGGGTGGGGTCCATATCGAAGGGGTAGGGTAATGAACTTCCCGGGTGGTTGGTTGAGTGAGCATTGGGAATGAGGTGCCGGGGGTCCTTTTCCAGGTCAACGGACGGTACAATGGCACAGGCAGATCAGTGATGGTCAAAGTAGGGGTACTATTCCGAAGGAGATACTCGAAGGGGCTGGGGGTGGTTATCCGGTAGGGGTGGTAAAATTTCTTTTTTGCACATTCACAGTCATTCGTTTCAAAACAGCTGTAGGACTCGTCTGGGGTGATCTTCAGAGAGGGTGCAGACCACCGGTGTTGTTGTATATGACAGTATTGGGCAAGAGGAGGGGTCCACAAGGGTTGAGGTATCGTTGGGGCCCCCGATAGGGTGGGGTGTCGCTAGGTTTAACTGAAAGGTGAGTAGAGAGGCGTTAGAGGTGTATCTCCAGGGCCCAGTCGGAGCGAAAAGATTCTTTTTGAGAACCGAAGAGAACCTAGCAATGCCCGAAAGTGCATCGATTCATGTCCAAGGTCGCATCCAAATGTCAGCAGCCGAAACCGAACCACTGGTTTCAAACAGAAGCAAAAGAGTGCGATCACGGATGCCAGGGTATTCCAGAAGCAGGTCACTACCGGTACTAGGAGCTGGAAAGAGGGGTAGCCGTCCCAGTGACGGTGGGTCCGAGGGGTGGGGGTGAAGTTGGGCGTCCTGAGGGGTCACGGTGGACCCCACGGGACCGCACACCGTTCCGAAAAGTAGCGCCTGGGCGGCGCTAAGGCTGGAGGTCTGTCAGTGTCATCTTCCGTTCAACTCAGTGGTAAAGTGGCGCCAGTGTGACTGCCACCGGCGCCCAGTGCCGCAGCCTACGGTCAAGAAGGCTGTAAATCGAGGGATGGAGAAGCTAACTAGTAAGCGGTTGAAAGTCAAACTCCGTCAGTGAGTAGTACTAGCAAGTTACTCCGAGTATTGACTCTAGTGAAAAGTCTCCGGCGTTGACGGTTGAACTTGATCACTGTCACTGTTGAGGAAGAGGCGTTCAAGGAGTGACTCACTGAGCCACCGGGAGCCGACCGTACCAGGCTGAGTCACCGCCGAGCCGCAGTAGTAAACTCAGTGAAACGAGCCTGCCAGGAGTCAAACTCTGACTACGGTGATCAGGCCGCCGCGCTGACCCGGCCGCGGCCCGGGGCGGCCCGGGGCGGCCCGGGGCGGCCGCGGGAGTCCAGTCACTGCCGGGTACTACCGTACGATACTACCGTAGTACCGTCGCCGGGGAGGATCGGAAGGGCCCCGCGGGATCGTGCTGACTCAGTAACAGTGAGCCGCGAAGTTACTCCGATTCATTGCAGCTGTGTGAAAGTAGCAACGGTACAGCCCCAACCTCCTCACAAGCCTTGAAGGACGTGGTCCGAGTTGATGCAGCAACAAGCTCTCCTTCCTACCAGCCCGAGGTGAAGGACTCGAACGCAAGCTCACATCAAATCGAGAGGAGTTCGGTTCCCGGAGAAGTCGAGAGGCGTTCTGTTCCCTCCCTCTGCCCACTGTTTCAGCCGAGGCGCGTCTAGCAAGGTTTCATCACCTCGGAACTTGATGGGGGACGAGGGTCGGTCCATGTCCTTGCAGAAAGCATAGTAGTTGAAAGCTCCGTTCCTCTCGTACTGACAGCAAGCAAGTCAAGCAAACGTATGCATCCTCTCCCCTCTTCCCTCTCCCGCTCTCCCGCTCTCCTTCCTTTCGACTCCCTGCTACTATCTCCTCCTCCTCCCAGCTACTCAGCCTTCTTCTCCCCTACCTCCCCACCTCCACTACCTCCACCTTTTATCTCTCATCTCCCTTCCCTGTTTTCCTTCTCCCCCCCCTCCGTCTCCGCCTCCTCCTCCTCCTCCTCCTCCTCCTCCACCGACTACTACTACCTTCGAGTAGATCAGGTTCATATCGTCCTCAGTCAATCCCAGGTCTCCGGCCAGGCGCACCATCCCCTGAGCCAACGCTCAGAGCAGCAGGAGCGCGAGCACTCTCATCACCCTCATGTACTGTGAGCGGGAGATGCAGCCAGGCAGGTTGCACAGGAACTGAGTGTGCTTGCTTGTCTTCTTCATCCAGCCAACCTAAGGTCTCACGTCAAGCGCTCCACCACCAACACTACCACCATTCGCCGCCAACTCCTCCTCCTCCTCCTCCTCCTCCTCCTCCTCCTCCTCCTCCTCCTCCTCCTCCTCCTCCTCCTCCTCCTCACGGTGCCTCCATTAAGGTGCGGATCATAATCGCCCAGGAGCTCTCGAGCAGACACGCGGGTGCTTGTGATCTTGTGCTTAAGCTTTCTCTTGAGGTACTTGCAGCGCAGCTCACCTGCTCCCCGTCAGTCATGCGGCAGGGAGCGCAACAGCCGTCTCACCCTCAGGCGTGAGGGGCTGGATGGCGTATGGAGAGTCGAGCGACATGTCAGGGTTGAAGGCGTCGAGCTCCTCCTTGAGCCTCTGGTACCTGCCCGTCTCACCCGTCAGCTCAGGAGCGGAGACGCTGACGGCAGCTTACACGTTGTTCATCTGAACCCTAGTGTCGTTGGTGGGCTGCAGGATTTCACAGAAGACAGCATAGTTGAACGTCTGATCTTTGAACTGCTGCGGCCTGTCTTCGCTGCCCGACATCCGTTGGTTCTCCTCCTCGAGCAAGAGGACTCAAACCTGAAGAACCTGACGACAAGCCCCTTCTCTCCTCGCGACATGTCTTGAAAGCATCGGCAGCCGTCGAGGCCGCGAAGCATGTCATGGGTAGAGATGTACCCTCGCCTGCTCGCCGTCAGACCCACACGCCCTCCCGCTCCCTTCCTACTTGGTCGAATCATAATCGCGGAAAAACTCCATAAGGAAAACACTGGAGTTGGACAGCTGGGGCTAGGTCAAACCCGCCTGCGCATCACAAGCATCCTTGTACCCGCTGCCGCATATAGGTCATGATGTGAACGACGTCGTACTCGGGGTCCTCCAAGTGCCAGCCATGCTTCCTCCGGCTCTGCTCATCCTGCAAACACGCGCGTGAGCCTCGACGAGACGACAAGGATAGGATTCCTGAATGGTCAGCTTGTCTGCGATGTTGCAGAATGCTATCGACTCAGCTTTCCTCCTCACAGTAGCTGAGTGCGGCCTAGCCCAGTTCTCATCTAGGAAGCTGCGAGGGCTCTAGTTAGACGTGCAGCAAAGGGAGAGGAGAGAGAGAGCAGGAGAAGAGCGAGGTGAGCTGGAGATGATGATGATGATGAGATGGGGAACAGGAGATGAACTATGATCCACAGACGAACGATCAAATCAGACAATGTTCGGGCAAGCAGAATCAGGTGAAGTTGAGGGAAGGAAAAGAACTGAGTAATGGAACAAGAGAATTCGAGTGAGATTCCATAAGAGATGTTCCGAAGAGGATAACGAATGGAAACCAGCAGGATCAGGAGGTTCAGGTGCGTCCAAGGATACAGGGCAGTGTAGCGTGAACAGAAGGAGAGGCAGGATAGTAGGATCGGCAGAAAGAGCAACTCAGTAGTGAAGGATCATCAAATGAATGGCAGGAGGAACAAGAACGGCACAATGAGCTTATGAAGGAGAAGGAGAAGGGAGTAAGAGTAGGAGAATGATCCGAGGGTCGAGAGCATGAGCAGGAGATGGAGAAGAAGCAAGGAGCGGTCAGGAAGCAGGAAGCAGGGAGCAGGGAGCAGGGAGCAGGGAGCAGGGAGCAGGGAGCAGGGAGCAGGGAGCAGGGAGCAGGGAGCAGGGAGCAGGGAGCAGGGAGCAGGGAGCAGGGAGCAGGGAGCAGGGAGCAGGGAGCAGGGAGCAGGGAGCAGGGAGCAGGGAGCAGGGAGCAGGGAGCAGGGAGCAGGGAGCAGGGAGCAGGGAGCAGGGAGCAGGGAGCAGGGAGCAGGGAGGAAGGGGAGGAACCTCTTGTGCAGCTCGTCGTTGTCCTGCCTCTCCTGCTCCTCCGTCATTATCTCCGGGACAATCATCTTCCTCCCTGCCATGGCGGCCCTAATATAGCTTTTCCGTGAATGGTTCTCGTTATTTATATGATTACAGCGGCCTTCTCAAAGCTTCAAAATTTTACTATTAAATTAATTTAATTTCTACTGTTTATGAATATATCAATATTCTGATTTCAACTCACTGAGGAAAGATACCCCACAGCTCAAAATTAAACGAAGGAAGCGTTATCAACCGTCGCTCAGCGAAGTTAATCACCTTATGAGCCTCCAAAGAGTCACTTGTTAGCCCGGCTACTAACTTGCCTTAGTAACTACTGAGTAGTAAGCGGCCCCGGCCCGGGAGTCCCCGGCGCGGCGAGTCACGCTGACCATCACTGTCTCCCCGGGTCACGGTCGCCTGGCGGCGGCCGCCACCGTCACGGTGATGGACCGTACGGTCTGGCACTGGGGCCAGCCGCAGTGAGTCGGGGGCCCGGGCCGAGGCCAGTTCAACAAACCCGGTCCGAGCAGTGACTCGGCGGCACTGGCACTGGCGGCTTCGAGACCGTACAATGATCCGCCGCTCCCGGCAACAACGTGAATGTCAGAGACGCCGCGGCCACCCCGGCGGCCCACTCACGGTCTGCCCTGGTGACTTTTTTTATCGGATGATCTCAAAACTGGTTGTAAGTTGACAGTACCCCCTAGAGGTGGGGTAATGAGGTTCAAAGGGAGGGGTTCTTACGTTATGGAATGGGAGGGTAGCCAGGCATCAAGTTGAAGATATTGGGGGGTAGGGGTAGAGGGAGTTGTACGCAGATGCTGTTGACCGCAGTAGTGAGTGAGGAAGAGAGTGAGGAGGATCGAAAGCAAGACGAGGAGGAAGACACTGTGAAAGTCGGAGGTAGTTTAGGGTTCGGGGATGAGGTCAGTGATGTACAAGTTCATTGCTCTCAATCATGGATCGTCAGGGAGGAGACGACACACTATCACATTCATGTAGACAGGTAGGAGTAGATGCAAGGCTGTTCAAACAGGCAAAGTTGAGAAAGAAGGAAGATGAATCGAGGAATTGAACTCAGCAAGCAGCAAATGTCAGAGGACTCCGCCTGGCGGTGCTTTGGATCATGGGGGTTCGGCCGTATCAAGATCGGGAGACGAATTGACCTTGTTTGCTGCTGCCCTTCATCGCTCTAATGCGATACGTCGTTCCTAACTTCGATGCTTCTCAGGATGAAGAGGACACATCAAAGATTCCAGCTCGGTCCAAGTGGGTGGTAGCACTGAAGGATGTTCAAGTTGGGGAAGTTGAAGGCTGAAGGTAGACCAGATACAGCATACCTCAATGTTGCGATCAAAGACCTGCGGGTCAAGCACTCACAAGCTCTGGGGACGCAGAGGCCGCAGAACGAGAACGTTCCGGGGCATGCGGAGTGGAAGAAGAAGGTATCTAGCAAGGACAAGCTAAAGATGCTGGAGAAGGCGAAGGAGGCAGAGCTCAAGTCGATAGGGAGGGGGCTGGCAAGACCAAGTCGCTCTATCAGTCTCATCCCCATCCTCCGATTCCCTTCCAACCAACTTGAAGACTTCGTCAACAGCAAGGGGTCCAAGACCGAGCGGGCGCTCCGTCCGGATTTCCGCAGCCTTCAGACGACAGGTTCTTGTTTGCTGGCAGAGCCGTGCAGCTCCCTTACCCGACCCTCCAGTCTTCGACACTCTCCTCGATGTTGCTGACATCTCCAACATCTCGGAAACTCTCAACATGACTGCGGTAACTCTCCTAGTCCCCGTCCTCCATCCCCTCCTTCTCCTCCTCCTTCTCCTCCTCCTTCTCCTCCTCCTCCTCCTCCTCCTCCTGCTGCTGCTGCTGCTCCTCCTCCTCCTCCTCCTCCTCCTCCTTTTCCTCCTCCTTCTCCTCCTCTACTACCCGATCGCTTCCTCACCCCTCCCACCTCTCCCCTCCTCTCTCCTCTTTCTCGCAAGCTTGTATTTGATCTCGTACAGCCTGCTCTCGGAGCGTTGGCAAGCAAGAAGGGAAATAGGATCGTTCTAACAGAAGCAGGATCTGTGGAGGTCGGACATGCCAGTCTGCTTCGGCGATAGTAAAGTTGCTGCAGATTTTGATGAAGCTGCTGGAAGTTGGACCACCAGCGTCGAGACTGGACGCCTGGATGGCGCTCGATGATCTTCTGAGATGGTGAGGGCTGACGGGATGAAAGATCGTTTGACTCGAGTTGAGCAGCAACGACGCGAAGAAGAAGCTCTTTGCTCAGCCTGGCGTCTTGCTCAAGCTCCGGTCGTGTTCGAGCAGCCGGTCAGTCAACCTGTTGGCTGTTGCAGGATGCAGGTTGATGGTCGTGGCTAGGAACCACAGGGTCAGGCGCATCGGAGCAAGCATCCTCCGCAACCTCGTTTCTGACCGAGTCTGCTGTGCGTCCACGAGGAGCAGCGGCGCTGACGGGTGGGGTGTACAGGCTCTTTCAGTCCAGGAGAAGACGAGCGAGGACATGGTTCAGGTACCTCAGCTGCGGCTCCTCCTCCTGCTCCTCTGGTTCATTCTCACTCGCAGACGCTGTGCTCTTTCGTCACGTGCGGGGAGGACGAGGCCTCGGTCTCAGCTGGGAACGCTCTGTTTCGCATCGCAAAGTACTCTACGGAAGAGAAGACTTTATGGCCTCCTGCCTCTCTTCGTCTCCTCGGCAAGTCAAGAGTGGAGGAGGAGAGGAGAGGAGGGAGAAAGAGAAGAAGAAACAGCAGGGGCAAGCGGTAGAAGCAGAGGCAGGGGATGGAGGATGAAGGTTAGGGAGGAGGAGGGGGAAAGGGGGCTGGAGGAGGAGGTGGAAGGAGGGGGGTAAAAGAAGGGAATGGGGAGTGAGTAGGAAGACCGGGAGGAGCATGTCACATGTTTCGAGCAGGAGAAGCTGTCTCTTGTGCCCATGCTACTCATTCTACGTCGTTCTCCTCTGTCGACTTGAGTTTTCTATCTAACAGGTGTCAACGTCTGCTGTGCTCTGGTTTCCTTCCGTTCTGACATGTGATTGCAGATGTGCTGGTCGAAGAGAATGTGCTCATGTGAGGATACAACGACTGATGCAAACATGCTAGGACGGGTTGATGTTGACGACTGAGTTGTCATATTTCTTCATATGATGTGCGATGGATTGTTTGCTTCATGATTGCCCGTTGGTTGAGTTTGCATTTCACCTGAATGATATCAACTTTGACTTGTTGTGTTCCCTGTGGTTAATGTCGAACTTCCTAATCCGTTCCCACTCCCGTTCAGGCGCTGGTGACCATAACGAGCTACAAGAAGAGTCGTGTAATGATGAGCGAAGGCAGCGAGCAGAGTGACTTGTTGATGTTCTTCTCACTTTCTACTACTGTAGACACTCAGTTTGTCGAGTTTGCTCTCAAGGCGCTGCTGGAACATGCGAAAGAAGTTGCAGCGGGTACCTGGTGCAACCATTTGCTGCAGGTGAGATGCTGGAGTTGACGAGGAGGACGAGGATGGAGAGGAGGAGAGGGACCAGGACAAGGACGAGAGGGAGTAGACAGGGAGGGTAGCAGAAGCAGGTGGAGGGAGAGTGGTGGGGAGTGAGGAGAACGAGGATCTGGAGGAGAATGGGAGGGGACCTCAGAAGAGAAGCATCGGTAGGAGAGGGAAGATCATATCTGGAAGAGGACGAGGACGAGGACGAGGACGAGGACGAGGACGAGGACGAGGACGAGAGGATTGGTTTTTGATTTCGCGAGTTTGCAGGCGAGTGAAGTGGATGAGTATCTGTTGAAGGCAATCGCGCAGCTGTTGACAGCATGCAGGTTAACAGATTGACTTTCACATTTTTCTTTACCTCGGGACCTTTCTTTTTGAATGTTATCTTTGTTGTCAACATCTTCTTCTTCTCCATCATCATCATGCATCATCATCATCATCATCATCTCCATCTCCATCTCCATCATCTCCATCATCATCAACATCATCATCATATTTGACATCATCATCATCATCATCATCATCATCATCATCATCATCTCCATCTCCATCTCCATCATCATCATCTCCATCATCATCATCATCAACATCATCATCATATTTGACATCATCATCATCATCATTATCCTCACTCCTCTCCCTCCCTCCTCCTCCCTCTCCTCCTTCCCCTCTCTCCCCTACATCTCAATTCTGCTCTCCTTCCTGCAGTGGCTCTGTGCTAGCGAACCTCGACAACCAGGAGGGAAACGACCTGCTCAGGTTCAGTCGCTTGCTCGAGTCCTGCAGTGACGAGCAGGAGCAGGCTCCTGGACGAGAGCATGTCGCGGGTCAGCGAAATTATGAAGGTGAGAGGAGGGAGGAGCCGCTGGCTCTGACGCGAACTGGGCCGTAGGATGTCATGCCATCGCAGAGATTGTTGGTTGCGATCCACGGTAAGTGGGAAGCAGGGAAAGAGAGAGGAGAGAGGAGAGAGCGAGGAGGGAGGAGGGAGGGAGGAGGGAAGGAGAGACGGAGAGACGGAGAGACAGAGGGAGGGGCTGGGAGGAGAAGACGAGAAGAGGAGGATGGGAGAGTGAGGACGAGGAGGAGGAAGGGAAGGGATGGAGAGACGGAGGATGGAGGAGCGGCCGGGGTGTATGGGAGAGAATCAGAAAACAGAAACGGAGGAATTGGAGCAGGAGCAGGAGCAGGAGCAGGAGCAGGAGCAGGAGCAGGAGCAGGAGCAGGAGCAGGAGCAGGAGCAGGAGCAGGAGCAGGAGCTCAAACTAAATCTTTCCAAGATGCGGACGAAATGATTCTTCCTCAAGAAGCTGAACTGCAGCTGAACTTCTCGCTCATCATATCGCGCCTCTCCCTCTGCACTAGAAGCGCTCGCCACACCTTCTTGCGCAACTCCATTCTATCTGTGAGAGCTAACACGATATCATTGTAACCGTGATCTTTATCTTCACATTCCATCAGCAGCAACAACAACAACAACAGATCCTCCTGCTCCTGCTCCTGCTCCTGCTCCTGCTCCTGCTCCTCCCCTCCTCCTGCCCCCCGTCTTGCTCCTCGTCTCACACCTTTTCCTTTTTCTCCAACTGAATGCTTCATGTTTTGACAGCTGTTGGTTGACCTCTGCTTGTGTAAGGAAGCACGAACAGCACAGGTGAGATCTTGCCCTTGAACCTGCAGCGACTGGTAACATACTGACATGTTCCCATCCTCTCGATCCAACAATCTTCCCCCCAAGAACGCTGCAAGGTAAAACAGTGACAACAGATATGAAACCTGACGACGATGTTGTTATCAGCGCAATCTTTTACATTGCGCATGAGGACGGGGCATTGAAATATTTCCTCAACCTTCCTCTTGCCGGCTCTTCGCAAGATTCCACCCTGAGAAGACGCTCGTCATTCTTGGCAGCAACAGATCAGCTGGCCATGACCACGAGGATGAAAGGGATGCCAATAGCCATGGAAGCCGAACCCTCCCCCGTTCCCTTCCTTCAAAGGGGAAGGAAATCCCTTTGGAAAAAGGTTCAAATCTCAAAGGGAAACATAAAAAACCCCCGA